TAACTGTCACTTTGCTACTGTTATGAATTTTAATGTAAATATCTGTGTTTTCTGATGGTCTTAGTCGACTCCTGTGGAAGGGGTCATGACCCACCGGTTGAGAACCACCAGGCTTTACTCAAAGACTTTCGTTGCTTTTCATTCGTTCCCTTCAGTTAAATTTCTCCCAAGACTGTGGACGGTGTCTCTGGGGAGCCCCCTTTTAACTTATTCCCTCTGTAACTCATTCTTCTGTGGCTTAGCCTCTCCTACCGCACCCACTCAGTCCTCTGGGGTATCTCCTGAGGTCTGCCCCTGCCCATTCCTCAGGGCTTTCTGTTTGCCCCAGCAAGCCACGGGGCTGGGACGCTCCCCACTGAGCAGTCCTGCCTTCTGCCCTTCCCCAGCCCACAAACAGGAGCTGTTTCCCAAGCTCCAGTTCTCCTCTTCAGTCCACGTCTTCCGTTTCTGTGATTTCAGTTACAGTCTAGGTGACGACTCTTCCCACATCCGTTTGTGGTTCGGACTTCTCTACCCATATTTACATGGATCTTTCCACACTGTCAGCCTTGTTATTCCTTCAAAACTCATTGTTTCCGCTCTGGCTCAGAATCTGAGTCATTATTCCGTTAGTCTCTCTACACAGCCTGGGCTGGAAACTTTGCTTCCTCCTAGTATTTCTTCCTGACCTATTAATTAGGAAACTGAGCCACACCTATTGACTCTAGGGAAATCATATACAAGATACCGTATTCTGCTTTATTAAAACCACTTACTTTCTGGTAGGGTTCACAACACATGTGTGCATATGAGTGGGGACACCCCAAGGCTAACCTGAGGTGTGGCGCCACAGTGGCAATCCTTCCTTTTTTGGGAAAGGGTCACTTGTTGCCTGTAACTCCATATTTAGGCTAGGACTTCTGGCTAGGGCTCCAGGGATCCACCTCCTCAATACAGGCTTGCCAGTTTTTGTTTTTTGTTTTTGTTTTTAACATGGGTCCTCATGCTTGCAAGGTAATCACTTTACTGACTGATCAATTTCTCCTGGCCCCCTGAATCCCTGCACTTAACTTACTCTTAACTTTGCGGTAGAGTTAGTACCGGGAAAAACTGAGGAAGGACTGATTTTTAGTAGGATTTTCATTGCTGTGACACACTTGAGCAAATTAAAGGTCAAAAGTTTGCCTTGGAAACTTGTGGTTTCAAAGGTTTCAGTCCATCATGGGTGGACTGCTCAGATTATGGCAGCCAAAATGCACACACACACACACACACACACACACACACACACACACACACACACACCACAGTGACAGAGAGAGACAGAGAGACAGAGACAGAGACAGAGGGGTGCGTAATGGATATAAGCACACCCCTGTTGTGTTTTTTCTTTATTCCTCTTTCATGCTAGCTGGCTTTCTAGCCTATGGGGTAATGCTGCTCATATTCAAGGTGAGTCTCCCCACTCACTTAATCCTCCCTGAAAATGTTATCACAAACAAATCTAGAGGTCTGCTTCATTAATCTCTCAGGCACTTCTCCGTTTGATCAGATAATCTTGCTAGTCCATCAAGATTAACCATCACAAGCCAGGTGTGGTGGTGCATGCCTTTGATCAATGCCCTCCAGAGGCAGAGGCAGGCGGATCTCTATGAGTTCGAGGCCAGTCTGGTCTACAGAGTGAGTTCCAGGACTGCCAGAGCTACACAGAGAGACCCTGTCTCAAAAAACAAAAATAAAAACGAAACAAACAAAAAGATTAACCGTCACAGCCTGCTAAATAGTGAAGACTCCCTTCTCATACAGGAACTAGACTCCTGTCCACTTAGTGTGTTCCTTATTGGGAAAGTGTCAGGGTCTCAGACTCCGGTTTCTCTGAGTGATTTTGTATAGACTGGTTTGGCCTGCTCTAGCGTTAGCGAGATCCTTCTTTAGCTGTGATGGGGGCAGGCACGCTGATTTAGGGAAATGTGGATAAGGTGCCCCATTTGGTCTTGAGTCTAAGCAATGGTCTTTAATCTGACTTTACCCTAAATAAAGTTAATATTTTACTTTCTTTTTAGATCCTCAAGTTTATCACTAATGTGGCGGAGAATCCAAAGACAAGAAGGGCTATGCGGTGGATCACTCCCATGTAACACACTGCACACAATTTTCTCCTTAACTCCCTGCCCACTGGGGTTACAGTGGTAATTCTCTGTCATGAAAACAATAAATCACAACATTTCCCATTGTGATTTTTCATTTCGTGGTACGAGAGATTTGTGTCATGAGCATTCTTTTTCCACCCTTACCTTTAATCTTAAATTTATGACTTTTATATAACACCAATTATTCTCTTTTAAATGAGAACCCAGCAGGAAGAGAAGGCATAAATACTACTAAATTAATTTCACCAAAGGACAGATTGGCTAATTTGATATATATTGAACTCCAGAATGCATTGCCACACAAACACATAGAAAAAAAAAAAACCAATTACTAACATGCTATTACTTGGAAAGGAAATGATAAATCAGCAACCAATCAGAAATTAATGGACTCACAGACTAAACTCTTTCAAGGACTCGGTTTGTTTATTGTATGTCTCCTTAAGATTACCCAGACAAGAACAGAAATGAATACATATAAAAAGAAGTATTTATAGATCCTATTGCATGCTACTTAAGCATTTGCCTGAGAAGGAAAATAAATGATGTTCCTGTATGCAGTTGAAACTTGTAAATGGCTGTAGCAAGGCTCAGGATGATAACAATTGCACTAAAGTAATAGCTCAGAGAACCATATTGCTGTTTACTTGCTTTTTGTTGTTAAAAATGCAGAATTTGGGGGCAAACTGATTACTTTGCTGTGGTTACAGTCTTAGACCTGTTTCCATTCAAAGGTATTTATGCCATTTCAGCTCACTTACAAGCTTTAGTCAGTGAGAGGCACGAGGATGACCTTCCTCAATAGCATTAGTTATTTCTACCCACTGTTTGCAGGTTTTTTCCAGTACAGTTTAACACGACTCTCTCATGCCCCCTGCTCAGTCAGTGTGAATGAATTCTTCCTTTTCTGGTGTGCCATACTTTGCAAGCTCTCAGGATTCTTTTCAGCAACCCCTGCATAATGGATAGGGATGCAGTTTCTTACTGCAGTGGGCTGCAGTATCAGAAATCCTTCAGCTATGTGCACATGGTGCAGTGTTTCCAGGCAGCTCTTCTGACAGTCAGGGACCTGGGAGGCCTGTTTGGCACGCAATGCACCCTGCAGTCTGACATTCCAGAGTCCACCTTACTCAGTGTCTGAAAGCAAGGTCCCTTCCATTCTCAGCCCCAAACAACTGAGTTACATATCAGTCTGTATTTGTGTTAGGAAACGAGCATGCAAATAAGAGCATTTCCATACTTAGGAGCCTGGCATTAGGACTAAGCGATATCTTTCCGAATTTCTTTTAATGCTCACGCTTGATAACACCCACCTTCACAGCAGCTAATGGCTAAGCATTTTTGCAGAACTGCAAATTGGTTTTATATAGTTAGAAAACAATGCAAGCATTCCAGTTTTACGAATTATTTAGTCTCCAACCTAGTTACTAGAAATGGCCCAAATGTGGTAATGTATCATTTGTCATATAGCATATAATTGCATGGTCTTTTGGTTTTTATTCTTACGCGAGTAAATGAGACAAAACAAATCACCCAGCCCCACCGAGGGAGAAAACCAGCATGCCTGAGGGGCAGCAGGGCAGAGCACTGCACTGGCCCGCCAAGGCCGCAACACGCTGCAGGATGCTGCCGCAGCTTTAGTTTTCTCGCCAGGTGGCAGAGGCCCTCTGCAGAAGAGCACACCGCAGCGCTCACGCCTTGCCTTCTTGGCACTGGACCAGCGACCACTGTCAAGTGTCCAGCAGACAACCACGATATAGTTTTTTTTTTTTTCCCCCGAATTATAACGGGATGTAAGGGGGCTGAGAAACGGCGAAGGGGAGAAGGGTGAGTGTGTGCCCACATGTGACAGATCACCGTTGGCTTAATAGTGCCTAAGAATTTTCTCCCGCAGTATTTACAGGCCAATCAATCACCAACTTCCTTCATCGGTTAGATGCTCACATCTAAAATCACCTCTCCCTCCAAAGACGCTAAACGAAGCAGGGTTTTATGGCCAGCGCCGGGAATCAAGAGGACCTACGAGCTCACGTCTGGGCTGAGGATCAGCACCAAGTTTGGGGGTGGGACAGTGCAAGTCCGCAGATCCCCGGTGTGCCGTTCCTGAGCGCCGCTAGCTGGGACCTGCTTGGAGATAGATGGCCCTTCCAGGTGCTCGCGCCTCAGTGCGCAAGGACTACCCCCGCCCCCAAACCGAATAGCTCACCCTGCTGCATCCTCCGAGCCCCAGCCTCCGGGCGGGCGCAGGGAGGCGGGAGCCCGGGTGCCCCCCCCCGGCTCCTTGGCGCCCCCTGACGTCGGCCTCCAGCAGTCGGTCGGTCCACGGAGGCTGCAGAGGCGAAGCCCGGGGGTCCCGCGCACCGCCGCCTGGCGCGTGGCCTGGCGGGCCGCGCGCGCGCTCACCGAGCCGTCCTGCGGGAGGGCGCGCCGCTCGGGCCCGGCTTGCAGCCATGTGCGCGCGGCCGCCGCCGCCGCCGCCGCCGCCGCCGCCCGTGACGTCACCCACCGAGCCCCCCGCCCGCTCTCCCGCCGCGCCCCGCCCCGCCCCACGTGCGACGGCTTCGCGAGGCCGAGGCCTGAGGCGGCCATCCGACGATGCTCTCGGCCGGCTGCGTCCCGGGCGGGGCTGAGCCCGAGGGCCGCGCACGGGCTGGGGCGCCTGCGGAGGGAGGGGCGCGGCTCCCGCCGGCGCGCCGTGTGCTGAGTCATGGCGAGAGCTGCCCGCCGCTCTCCAGCAGTCGTTCCGGGGCCGGCGCGGGGTGTGCAGCCATTGGGCCGCGCGCGGGGCCGCGAGCGCCGGGCTTGACGCGCTGAGCCGCGCTCGCCCGTCTCCGCCGCGCCCGCCCTGCGCCCCGCGCCCCGCGCCCCGCGCCCAGCACGCTCTGCCGCCTCAGCCCCGCACCGCACCGCACCGCACCGCACCGCACGGCCCCCCGCCTCGCCCGCACCATGATCGCCGCGGCTTTCCTCGTTTTGCTGAGACCCTACAGCATCCAATGTGCTCTCTTCCTCTTGTTGCTTCTGCTGGGCACCATCGCCACCATCATTTTCTTCTGCTGCTGGCACCGCAAGCTCCAGAAAGGGAGACATCCGATGAAATCGGTCTTTTCGGGGCGTTCCAGAAGCAGAGGTGAGACACGCCGCCACCGGTGTCTTCTGGGCTAGAAGGGAGGTTGAAGCCTCCTCCACTGCCGCCCCTGCCCCGCTCCTTTGCCCACCGTCATTGCCCACTTCTCAAGCTACGTGCATTTATTTATTTAACGAGCCCTGGCCTTTTGCCCTCAAGTCCGTCCCCAGATCACCAGCTTTGGATAACCTCGGAGATTCGGAGGTCCTGGGAGGAAGGATCAGACTCCGTTTCTTAGGTTTGCTAAAGCCCAGAAGGCAATTGTAGTGGAATCCCGGGCTGAGACACTCTTACCTTTCTTTACACAGCCTTTGCTGGAGCTTGGGGATTAAAAAAAAAGTAAGGCGTGATAATTGGGGGGGCTCCCCTCCCAACTTTGCTGGAACTTCTTGCAGAGAAATCACCTTAGAGACAGATGGTCCAATACTCCCTCCGCCCCGCCCCAAATATGCCCACCAAACTGGAGAGAGACATCTAGAATGTGCTTTCCTGAGTCCAGGTAAGTGATGAGCAACTCTGCAGGCTGAGAACAAGGAGTTAATGAAGTCTCATTTCCCCTCTTTTCTCCCCAGATGCTGTTCTGAGATCTCATCACTTTCGCTCTGAGGTAATTTATGTAGTCACACTCTCAAGGTCAGAAGTAGCTTTCTTTCCCGAGTACCAATATTAATCATGTGCGTGTTGAGAAGCCAGTAGGGCACCGGCTGGGAAGCTTGCAGACCCTAAGCCCAAACTGGCATGCTTCTTTGGAAGCAATTCCACAGTCAAGCCCAGAGAGCGTGGTAACAGATTGTGTGTGTGTGTGTGTGTGTGTGTGTGTGTGTGTGTGTGTGTAGTTTTGTGTGGAGTTTGCTTTACAAGAGGTGGGAGGAGCAGCCCCTAAAAGTGCAGCAGGCCTTAGAGAACTTAGCCGGGGAATGGCTATCAGTTTAGCTTACAGTCTGTATCTATGGGGCAATCACTTCCTGGGTGCTCACAGAGGTCGGTAGTTGTGCACTTAGATAAACCGTGGGGTAAAACTCCTAGGACGTTATCGCAGAATGGTTTGAACCCTATGCATTCCAGCTGAGACTCCAGGTGACAGTCCTGCTGTCTCAGAAAGCTGGCTTCCACGATGGTATTGAGGACACGATAGTGGTGTTGGCGAAGATACACCAGGGAGTATGTACTTGATATTTGTGCTAGACTGTCCCTCTAGAGTAGGTGACGGGACGCTGCCAGTATGTGAGACGGCAGTAGGACCAGCTCCAGTTAGGACAAGATACAAGCTCTGCCTGACCCATTGGATTTCTTTAGTTTCCAGAGGCCCACTTGCAGTAAGACAGTTTTCTCTCTTTGGGGGAAAGTTGCTCGTACCCAGGCGCGGAGGCTGCTTGGCGACACAGCTTTGCAAAGTATTGTGTATATCCCTTCTCCTACCACCTCGTTATTTACCTGAAGTTACTTCACATCTTGTGTTGCTTGTTCCTCGGAGGTTTTATTGCATCGCAGATGCTTTGCTGGATTGTGATTCTTTAAGCTCAACTGCATTGTAACGTTACTGTGTTGCACACTGAGTAATTCTGTTGCATGTGCCCTGGAAGTGAGAACTCGTCTAGTTAAGATTCGTGGGAAAATAACTTGTCAACAGTCAGCAGGCTTGTATTTAGCTTTGTACTGACTAGCTCTCGGGGGCTGGAAACACAAGTTTTGCCATCTGTAAAACAGGGCCAGCAGTACCCTGCAGGGCTGTATGTGGAAAATTATTTTTAAAGTTATGTAAAAAATAATTAGCTCAGAGGAGGTATTTAGTTTGGGGTAGCCATCGTACATTTTGTAAAATTGAACTGAAAATTGTCAATTGTGGTTGCACACACGTTTAATCCCAACACTCAGAGGCTTGAGGCAGGGGATCTCCATGAGTTTTGTGGCCAGCCTGGTCTACATAGTGAGTTCCAGGACAGCCAGAGCTACATCGCTACATTGTAAGACCCCTGTTTTTTTTAAGGAAGAAGAGAAAGAAAAAGAAAAAAAAAATGTAAAACATTAAGATATGTCTGTAATGGAGTCTTTAGAAAATTAGGTCAGGTTTATAGACTACAACATGAACTGGGTCTGTTGTGAAACAGATGAATGAAGTCCAATAATTCATTTAGATGCAGCAAACGGTGAATGGTGGACAGGATACAAGCGTTAAGACGTAGCGGATCGACTTGGAAAAGACTCACCAGCTCTGTGTACATACAGGATAGTCGGGAGACACTGCTGGGGACTAGCCTCAGACGGTTCAGCGTAGGCACCCTGGGACACGTGGGATGTGCCCACATCTTTGTTTGCAGTTTTTCAGCTCAAATCTCGTCTTGAGCTTGTGTTGGTTAAGAAGTCTGGGAACAGCTGTCCAGTGCCTTATCTTGTTCTGCAAGATTGCCGGTGTCATTTGAAATCTTTGTGTATACTTGTTGCTTCTTTATGGGTTAGCCTGTGAGTTCCTGAGGGCAGAGCCCAGGTCTCTCGTGACGCCATTGCCTGGCCCAGTGCCTCGTGTGGAATGGGTTCTTAATAAATATTTATGGCACGAATGAGAGCAGTCTCTTGGTGGGCAAATAGAACTCAGAGTTGGACAGAAGAGAAAAATGCATTCTTGGAACATGGCTTAGAATTTAGCAGCGTTTATTTACCTTTTCCCAGGCTTTTAAAATAGCATTTTATTTTGTTATTTTTTGAAATAGGGTCTCACTGTGTAGCTCTGGCTGTCCCAGGACTCACTATGTAGATCAGGCTGGCCTCGAACTCACAGAGATCTGCCTGTCCTGGTCTCTTGAGTAACTGGCTTTTTCCAAAGCTTTAAAAAAAAAATTACCTTGGTGTTTATAGTAAAATTTAAGGTATTCACTGTAACAAAAAGATTGTTAGAATCTCTCCCCCAATAAAATAAAATGTAATATCAGCTTAATTTGCTGATGCATGATAAACTAGGCAAGGAATGTTATTTGGTATGTGGAAATCATAGTCTGTTGCACAAGAATGTCATATTTCATCACTGTCTTATATTTACCACAAACATAACATTCCCCTTAAGCAAAACACAGGATATATTTTCTTCTCCCTCTTAGAACGTTATTTCTGCCAAGATTTTTCTCCTTAAGGAAGACTTCCGAATTTACTTGGATTGAAGCATATTTAATGAGTTAGAGTGGACACAATGAATATTTATTCCTGCTGTTTTTTTTTTTAATTTGCAGCTGCTGCAAAATATTATCAAAGCGAATGCTTTGATTTTCTGGCAAGTCCTAATCACACTGGGCTAAGTTTCTAGTGCTTGCTGTTCCCCCTGCCAATCTCAGTAAGTGGATAATTCACTTTCAGCATTTCTGCCCTGGTCAAATGAGAAACATGATGTAGGATCTGCTGACTCACTTTGAAACCTGAACAAGCTGCAATAGAATACTGGGACTGATGAAGTTTGGAAAACATTTTGCTGTTTCATCTGGCAGAGGACATTATTTTTGCCACTCACGCCTCCTGGAGGGAGTCAGCGTGGATGGGGAATTCCGAGGTGTTCTGTCTGAGGTGGTCAGAATAATACTTCCTAAGGGAAAAACACGGTTTTGAGGCTCCACCAAAGAGATGAAGGCAGCTCCCCAATCTGAGGGGCTGTAATCCTTTTTCTCTTCGTCTGTATTTAATGGCACGTTTCTTCAATCCAAGCTCTTTGCGAGACACTAGAAGTCAGTAATATGATGTTCATAAGGCGCTTTAGGTCAGTAGGCACCACCGGCACTTTCTTTTCAGGTACTTGCAAAGTTATGAGCTTTTAACAAGCCTTTAAATTTTAATAATAGCATATGAGAAAGTGAAATTAACCCCTCTAGCAAAGCCTACAATTTTACCTGACATTAGAAACTATAGATGGAAAGGTTCAGTTGGGTGGAATATTGTTTGCTTATTTAAAGCTTGCACTCGTGTGTGTGTGTGTGTGTGTGTGTGTGTGTGTGTGTGTGTGTGTGTGTGTGACTTCATTGTAAACCATTCGTGAAACGATTTCCCATTGATGTAAGATAGTCTAGAAACCATGTGTGCCTTCTGGTGTCTAGCTGTCTAGCATCTCCGAAGTGCACTTTCCCGAAGACTAGTAATATTTTGCGCTGTGACTGTGAACAGGGGTGAACTGTCACCCTAGGTTCCTGTGGTGAAAGTTGGGCGGTGACAGTCCTGTTTCAGAGGAAATTTTAGAGAGTGATAAGGGCATTTGCGGCACTGTCCTGTTATAAAGGAGAATCTTGGCGTACTGTCCTTCACAAAATGAAGACAATGATAATGCCTTCGAGAGTCCCAAGTGAATGGTGGTGAATGATCCCTATTCATCAGCTCAGGAGAATAAGGGACGCCTTGTTTGTTTAAGGAAGGAGAAGGTCCTTTCCCTCCATCAGGCTCTGATAAGTACCTTTTCTTCCTGCCTCAGGCAAAGGCAACAAGAAAGTTGAGTCAGACTAAGCAGTTTCTGCAGAGTCACACAGTAAGAGACAGGGTGGTAAGACAAGAACCACAACTACATTTCGTCTCCTTCTGGTGCTGACCCGTGTCACTCATAACCCATTCAGAAATGTGCCCAAAATTCTCAATGAAAGAGAAGAGTCAAGTTGAGCGTTTTTAGTGCATATTTTCTATAAAAACTGGTAGACAGATTTGTTATTTACTCCCCTCACCCATGTTTATCCGAGGTCTTCTGGATGAAATGTACTATATGGTCTACTCAAAGTCTCTGGCCTCATTAGATGCCCAAATGTCCCTGTTCCAAATTCTGGAGGATTATTAGCAAAATAACCATATTACATAGTTTCTCATTAAGCTCACATGTTTCATTAGGAATTACCCAATTTCAAGATATATGCATAAAGAGCACATGGTGCATATATATGTAAATATATATAACTTTTATGTTTTGAGTGGTTTAAAAAATAAGTTTATATTTTTAAAAACTGTGATAAAAGAATTACCCAGTTTTCTGGATTGGGGAAAATAATGCTTTATTCTTGAGCCATCCTTTATAATTAGGTTATTGTTATAAATACATTTTTATCTAGTGTCATTCTAGATCTAGATTAATTTATACTAATTAAATCAGTCATGAGTAGTAACTGTATACATGATGCGATGTTCATTTAGTGTGACCCAATTATCTTCAAAGTAAACACATTAATCTTTTCTTTATGAAGTGCTGTGTTAGACACCAGGCCTGACGAAGATGCTGAGGTGCAGCCTTGCCCATAGTATTCTAAGTCACCCCAGCATCCTTGCCGAAACCTAACAGCTACTGGTTCTTCTGTTACAGTAAGTGAACTGCTGTGCTGTTCCCAACTGTGAGTCACCAATGCAGTGAAAGCATCGGAGACTGTGGCATGCAAATGTGCAGCCAATGCATATGCATAAATAACAGATTGGTCCTGTCCAAGGATCTGATCTTACCATTTCAACACGGCCATTTACACAACTCTTACCTTATAAACGACTGCTAAGTGCAAAACAGACCCCCCCCCCAAAAAAAAAATATAAAATAAGGTAACACCCACCTTTTCATGTGTCTAAGCAAAAGCATATTCTGAGTTCGAATATTGGTCCAACCTTTAG